TAATTGCAGGCTCTACATTATATCTCCTCAGTAATTACCTTCATGGTAGATCTCTAAGGGTAGTTTTGAATGGAACAGAATCAGCAAGATATTCTACTGGGGCAAGTGTTCCACAAGGAAGTGTGCTAGGACCATTGTTATTGAATGTCTACTTCAATGACCTCCATCTCATCCCAGAATCCCATGCATATGCAGACGACTACTCTGACATTCACTTATCCAAGAGAAGAAATGCCAGCTGCTTTAAGCTACATCAATCAACAGCCAAGAACTACATCAGCTTGTGGAAACCGATGGCAAGTAACATTTACACCTGAGAAAACACAAATGATGATGGTCTCTAGGCACCATGATGGTAATGCCGATGCAGTAGTAAGCATGAATGGGAGGGTGTTGGTACCTGGGAAAGAAGTTGATATCCTTGGAGTGAAATCCGACTCCAAACTGACCATGAAGAACCACATTGTAAATCTTGCAAACAAGGCAGCCGGAAGCTTACAGTACTTCGCCGTATCTCGCATCTGCTTGACAGTAGGGGTTGGAAGATTCTTTATGAGGCATAAGTGTGCTCACACCTTCAGTATGCTCCACTTTCTTGGTTTGCCTGCCCCCCCTCTCATCTGCAACTTCTTGACAGAGTAGAGAACAGAGCAAGACGTCTCATCTCTCACCTTGACCCATCCTGGATAGATTTGTCACTTCAGCAGAGCCTTCAACACAGGAGCGATGTGGGTGGCCTTGCTGTTATATACAAGGGCAACATTGTCAAAGTACCACACTTGGATCCACTTCGAGGACAGAGAGAAGCAAGCTTCTATGCCACAAGACGGGCAGAAATCAGCAACTTCACTATGGCTGTACCTTTCTCCAGGACATCACTTTATCTGAGATTATTTATCCCCAGGATGACTCAGGTCTGGAACACATTCGTACGGCATTATGATGTCAACGAGATAAAGTCAGTCGATCAAGTGAAAATGCTGGCCCACAAATGGCTCCAACTTCATCCTGTTTCCTACTTGTATGTTTCATAACAATAAAAATGCTTTTAAATGAGCTGATGTAGGTAACAGCTCTTAGCTTGTCAATAAAGTTAGGAATCCTTAACTTGTAAATCTCTTGTCAATAAAGCTAGGAATTCTTAACCTAACCTTATCAAACCCTGTTTAAAAAAAAAAAAACCAGAGAGAGAGAGAAGGTAGAAAAACTGTAAAGACTGGCAATAATGGTAAAAGTGCACAGGCAACCAAAAAATATAAATTACTATATCATAATATTAATGGTGGAAATCCAAAAAACAAAATGCATTTCACAACACGAGAAAGAAAAAACCTGGAAAAGTTAGACTTATATCTGCAAGTCTCTGGCAAGACAGTGATAGTGTGAATGAAGGTGAAAGTGTGTCTTTTTCGAGTCACCTTGCCTCGGTGGGAAATGATCAGTTAAAAAAAAAACTGGGCAGCCATATGAGGCTAGATAGCCAACAAAAGGCCAGCTAAATTCCTCAATGTAGCTTTTTTATGGATCAGTATAATAAAGAAGTGACTCAGGTAAAAGAACGTAACAAAACTGAGTATTTAACCTAGTTTTTATTAGGAAAGAAAAAATATCTACAAAAACCAAGCCCTCTGGGAAAGACAGACAATGTTAAACTGCAAATACAGCCTCTCCTTACTTAATGACGGAGTTCTGTTCCAAATACCACATTGGTAAGCGAATTCATCGCTAAGTGAGAAGCATGCTATAATGGTAGTGGGTTTGTGTCAACCATCTTTGATATTGTTTTAATATCACCTTTGCACCATTTATAACATCTCTGATATATTTTTAAATATTTATATGGCAGTGTGCTGTATATTGTAATAAAAAAAATAGAGGAAATCAGCAGAGGGCAGTGGAGAACAATATGATGTTCAATGGTGATAAGTTCCAGCTGCTTAGGTATGGAAAGAATGAAGAACTCAAAAGGAGCACTATATACAAAATTCAAGAGGGTCACCAAATAGAACGTAAGGAACACGTAAAAGACCTAGGAATAATTATGTCAGCCGACCTTTTAAAGACCATAACAAGACAAAGATCACGATAGCCAGGAAGATGACGGGGTGGGTATTGAGAACTTTCAAAACAAGGGAAATAATGTCGATGGTGACACTCTTCAAATCGCTAGTGTTCCCTCACTTAGAATATTGCTCAGTGCTGACGGCCCCGTTCAAGGCAGGAGAAATATCTGAGCCAGAACAAATACAGAGATCGTTTACGGCTCACACTGAACCTGTAAAGCACCTAAACTACTGGGAATGCCTGTAAGTCTTGAACATGTATTCATTGGAGCAAAGGAGAGAGAGGTACATGATAATATATACCTCGAGGGCATGGTCCCAAATCTGCACACTGCCATAACAACATACTGGAGTGAGAGATATGGAAGAAAGTGTAAAATAAACCCAGTGAAGAGCAGGGGTGCAGTGGGGACAATAGGGGAACACTGTATCAACATCCGGGGTCCCAGACTATTCAACATCTTACCAGAAGATATCAGAAACATGGCTGGAACCAGTGTAGAAGCCTTCAAGAGGAAACTGGACAAGTATCTTCACCAGGTGCCAGATCAACCAGGCTGTGATGGATATGTGGGGCAGCAGGCCTCCAGCAGCAACAGCCTGGTTGACCTGGCAAGCACCAGATGAGCCTGGCCCATGGCCGGGCTCAGAGAGTAGATACTCTCTCGAAACTCTTCAAAGGTATATCCAAGGTATACATTATTTAGGTAAGCATACTGGTCAGTGAGCCCATCGTAAGTCCGAGTCATCAGTAAAAAGTATGTCGCTAAGCGAGGAGAGGCTGTACTGTAAAATCAGTTAATAATTATGACTTGGGAAAAAATAAGGAGAAAACAAACAATGATGTAGATAAATGGTTCAGAGAACCGACAGGATAATGAATTAGACACCGTGCGGTGAAACATTTCCACAGTAAAGATACCCAAGTGTTGCACAAGTGTCTAATTCAACAATGATATTTATACTGTAGTGTATAATTTTTTTTTATTATTAACACATCGGCTGTTTCCCACCAAGGCAGGGTGGTCCGAAAAAAGAAAAACTTTCATCATTCACTCCATCACTGTCTAGCCAGAGGCTTGCTTATACTACAGCTATAAAACTGCAACATTAACACCCCTCCTTCAGAGTGCCGGCATTGTACTTCCCATCTCCAGGAATCAAGTCTGGCCTGCCAGTTTCCCTGAAACCCTTCGTAAATGTTACCTTGCTTACACTCCAACAGCACATAAAGTCCTAAAAACCATTTGTTTCCATTTGCTCCTATCTAACACGCTCATGCAGGCTTGCTGGAAGTCCAAGCCCCTCGCACACGAAACTTCTTTAACCCCCCTCCCTCCAACATTTCCTAGGCCAACCCCTACCCCACCTTCCCTCCACTACAGATTTATATCCTCTCGAAGTCATTCTATTTTGTTCCATTCTCTCTACATGTCCAAACCATCTCAGTAACCCCTCCTCAGCCTTCTGGATAATACTTCTGGTAATCCCACACCTCCTCTAATTTCTAAACTTCAGATTCTCTGTATTATATTCACACCACACATTGCCCTCAGACATGACATCTCCACTGCCTCCAGCCTTCTCCTTGTTGCAATATTCACAACCCCTGCCTCACCCATACAAGAACGTTGGTATACCTATACGTACTCTCATACATTCCCCTCTTTGCTTTCATGGATAAAGTTCTTTGTCTCCACAGATTCCTCAGTGCACCACTCACCTATTTCCCCTCATTAATTTTATGATTTACCTCATCTTTCATAGACCCATCTGCTGACACATCCACTCCCAAATATCTGAATACATTTGCCTCCTCCATACTCTCCCTCCAATCTGATATCCAATCTTCCGCTACCTAATTTTTTATCCTCATCACCTAACTCTTTCCTATAATCACTTTTAATTTCCTTCTTTTACATACCCTACCAAACTCATCAACCAACCTCTGAAACTTCTCTTCTGAATCTCCCAAAAGCACAGTGTCATCAGCAAAAAGCAACTGTGACAACCCCCACTTTGTGTTAGATTCTTTATCTTTTAACCCCACATCTCTTGCCAACACCCAAGCATTCACTTCTCTTACAACTCCATCTATAAATATACTGAACAACCATTGTGACATCACACATCCCTAAGGCCTAAAATCGTATTTCATTGACAAACAGTTGAAAAAAATATTACAAGAGAAAGACCTAAACATGTTTTACAAGGAGTTTGCAACATACGTGAAAATTTAAGCAAATGGCTTATTTAAAAAATGGGAAAGTGACAAACAATACAAAATGGTTAAACAAAAAGGTGCTGTAGAAATTAGGACTATAAAGCCCATCCAGAGCAAACTGTAGGTAGTCTAGCCATATATCTACTTTTTTCCCTCTTCCTCCACTTTCTCTCCTCCAACTGCATCTTTTCCTCCTCCTCCCTCTGCTCCTCTCCTCAAGAGCAAGAATGACTAAGAATACGACAACAATTAGCAAAGGTGGTGACTGATGTTACATTGCGATATCACAAACTTTTTCAATATTTTTTAAAAGTTTATTTAGAGGAGACAAAAAACAATATACACATGCCTTTTTAACAGCTTAAATATTTTAACACTTGTGTAGTCTACAGCAAAATTTTTGTATTCTCTCGTGTTCAGTCTGACCGTTGCACCTAACCATTTTTTTTACCACTGAATCACGGTGTCTATTAGCAAATTGTACATTAACAATGTTTTCCAAGAACATAACCCTTGCAAATATGAAGAGTTTATATTACATTTGTTTAACCTTAAGGAGCTTCTAGTTTTAGAACTAATCTTAACACCAAAATTGTCAGTTCACCATAAAAAAAAAAAAGTTTACCACCAAAATGACTTAATGTGATCATGTCAACTCAAGAGAATTTACAAAATATGATTATGTACAACAGGAGGTCACTACTTTTACCAACCTTGTAATGTGGTAATACTCTTGTGAGCACTCATAAGGTGTGGCATAACTTGTTCTAAAGATCCTTGCCATTTACAAGAAGCACCAGGACATGGACACATGTATGGACGGAACTCACATGTGTCTTCATGTTCCGTTTTGTCTGTGTGGAGGAGGGTTGCAGAGCAACCAGAGGAGGAATATTTGCATGGGAACATTACTGTGGATGCCACTTTCTCCATTGCCAAATTTCTTATATTTCCTGGAAGGGGAGTATTAATGTTACAAGGAGGGAGAAGTAGATATCTAAAAATCTAGAAAAAATAAGCTTCTTGACTATGAACAATGAAAAAAAACGAAATTGGTCTCACAGTCAAAACTCCAAGAATCAAGAGAAAATCTAAGTAAAGTTACACTTATGGGAATACTACCCCAACTGAATGCCCATAACAGTCAAATAAAAGGCAAAATATTATTAACCATAAGTAAAATTAACACAAAACAATGCCTAACACCTTTGCAGAGTACAAAAAATTACACTTATGTCGCAAACCAAACACAAATTAAAAGCAATTAAAATCCCTTATGCTTACCTAAAGGTCCTCTGCATGTTGGACAGCATGTGAGCTTTGGGCGACAATTGGCACAAACTAAATGTCCACTCTGGCATTGAAGGATTGGTGGCAACACATAATCGAAACATACTGGGCACTCAAACAAACTGGCCAATTCTGTGTTGCCTCCCGGTGCTGCACCTGATGGAGGTGACTGAGGGTGCACCGCCCTCCCATTTTTACTTGCAAATGCACTCATTGCTGCAAGTTTAGTCTCTGAAAAAATAAATTTTAAATAAATTTTCTAACATTTTCCAATAGTGTTCATATTGTTGCAACACCATATAACTATTTCATGAATCTTAATACAGGCACCTGAGACTTGTTTTACAATCAGTCATAACTCTTAAAAAGTTTAAAAAAAAGTTGTGACTTTCCCACATGCTCATTTGCAATGTTGGGTTAATTGCTTGGAGATGCTGTTGCAGCATAAAGCCTCACTTTTTAAGTTTTCCAAACATTAAACATACTCAGATACTAAGTGACCAATACACATCCCTACAAACAGGTACACATCAACATTTGCTTTCCAATCAGCTGGATCAAGGTGAATTTTCAGGTCTGCCATAGTCTTGAGACCACTGGGGAGGTCACCAGCAAAGCTAATGTCATCATCCACTAGGAATTTGGCCAATGATTTCTTTTCCTGAAATTTAAAACTCAATGAAGGTCTTTCCCCATACCACCAGAGAACTACCCGAGATACTGTTGAGGATCCAGGTATCTGAGGGCTCAGTCAACATGGCTACAGGCAAACCAATGTCATGGAGGGGACTTGCTGTATTGTACAATGTTTACAACACCACCTGCATCAAGGAAGTTTCACAAGCTTGCTGTAAACGAAATACTTGATTAAGACACCAGTCAGGTTGTTATATTGAACATGGGAACATCAAAGTTTGTCCATATTGTCAGAGTCATGGCTGCTAGCTGCTTAATATTTGAAAATATGGTTGAATTTCCTAAGAGGACTGATACCAACCTTGTCATCACTGTCAAAGCACTTGTAACTGGTTTTGAAAGATTTCCTACTCCCACAGCCCTTCCTATGGCAAAGTTTTTCTGGTGTTTCCTTGGTTAACCAGGTTGTTGCTGTTGGTGGCACATCGATGGGATGGCACTCATACCACCTCTCTCTCTCTCTCCCACTAGTTACTGCTGCATGCAGCATCGGCACTGCCCATGGCCTGCTACCTATGCCAGTCGATGGAAACAGTATGTTTCCTACTACCTTTGTTCACCTAACAGCAAGTAAGTGTTAGTCAATTGTTGTAGGTTGCATCCTGAAGGGACAAGATTAAAGGACCCCAGTAGAAATAAGACAGATATCCCCAGCAATGAACTGACTGAGTTTTCCTGGGTGGCTAACCCTCAGGGTTAAAAATCCGAACAAAATTTCATCTTGTCCTCAGCTCCATAATTCCACACTGTTGCTGTCACTGGGAAATAATACACAGTGAATTCACCTGGGAATGAAGCATGGTGAACAATGCATTGCAGCAGCCCCGACTTTTTGTATACCATGGGCACTGACCATACAGGCAGATTTGGCAGGAGAGGCCTACCAGGCCTTTCCTGCCAAATCTGAGGCTGCTACAATTTCAGAGTAGATCTATGTAAGCAATGCTCACATTACTGTAGATCTACAGGTGAGACAGTGCAAGGGTTAAATGGGAGATACCATTTCTTTCTTTTTTTTTTTTTTTGCCTGTGAACTCTCTATAACTCTAGTCCCACTATTAAGATGAGGCCATATTCCAACAAAAAATTTAAATGAATCTATGCCTCATCAGTAAATTATCCCTCCTGGATGATATGAACACAGCCTTTTCCCACAGCCAGGAGAATCTGACAGGGCATAAAGTTTTCAATCAATGAATAATCATGCATAAACAAATCACTGCTGTCCATGGTAAGATAAAAATGTGAGTGAAAATTCTTTGGAATTGGCGAGACACAACGTAAATAAACCTTAACCAACTTTAACAAAACAACGATGACACACGTCACTACCATCAGTATTTCAAGTTAAACGAAGATTTTTTAAAAGAAAATGTAATGAATTTAACTCATCCTGAGGAATTGTATGGATATCCTAGTTAAATCATCATAAAACGCTACTTCTATATTTATCTGATATATATGCACCTCTTAATGGCTATGGGGATAATTGCCCCATATCCTGGGCTCAGACTGAGCCTCATTAATCAGAAATAAAATAGTACAGGAATAAGAATTATTAAAATGTACATAGGAAAGTGAAGGTAATTTTAGAATAAGAAAACTTTGTTCAGTTTACTAATCCCGGATGGTTAATAACCCATGAATACCATTGGGGTCCTCCCTCAGGATGAGGCCTGCAACATTTGACTGACTAACAGGTATCAATTTACTACAATGTAATAGGTGGCAGGTGGTGTTCAAGAGGCTTGCCCATATATCCTGCCCCAGTTGGGACAGGATATATGGACAAGTAAGTAATTAAGCAAGTAATTAAGTTCATTTAGGCACAGGTAAACATATATATAATTATCATACATAGTGTAAATTATTTAGGATAACCCAAAAATGTCAAAGTGATATTTCCATTGGGGTTCAACCTTGTATCCCTTCATTTGTGAAATGTTGACCACCGAGTTACTAGGTACTAAACATATGCAGATGTATGTATGATATACCTGGTGTCTGACGTGTTGATGAGACAGGAAAGAAACAACCAGCAATCTGGCAAAGTGCAAAATGTTTAAAAAGCTTGTTTTGCACACTCATGGCAGGACAGCATTATTAGAGTCATTGGGGAGCACTAAACCTGTAGGGATCAGGCAATACCTGTGACAATGAAAGGTAATCAGGTTTGATTCAAGGGAGGATAGGTCCAATTCCTTGAATCAAGAGCCCTACATCATCATTAAGGACCCCAATGGAAATAAGTCACTGACTTTTTGGGTTATCCTGGATAATTTACACAAGTTACTAGGTATGACAATTGTACTTGTGTGTACCTGTACCTAAATAAACTTACTGAGACCTCCCTTGAGGGGTGACAGGATGGTAGTACCTCCCTGGATGACTGCTGTCACTAACAACTTACTACCTAATGACACTACGTAAGTTTTAGGCATATACACATAAGTACAATTATCATACACAGTTCAAATTACCTAGGCCATGGTGTGCTGTGGCATGGTAGGCAATGCTCTTGTCTACCACACTGAGTATCCAGGGACTGATCCCCGGCAAGGGTGGAAACATTGGGTGTGTTTCCTTACACCTGCTGTCTCCATTCACCTAAGTAGGTACCTATGTGTTAGCTAACTGGTGTGGGTTGCATCCTGAGAGACAAAATTGAGGACCACAGTGGAAATAAGACAGACAGTCCCTTGATGATGCACTGCCTTTCTTGGGTTATCCTGGGTAACTAACCCTCTGCTCCAGGGTTAGAAACCAAAACAAAATCTTATCTTATATTGGCCCCAAAAAGCCAGGCAATATGTAATTATTAAATTCAAAATACAAATAACTTATATTAGGTGATACATTCATGGGGGGGGGAGTACTAAACCCTAAAGGAAATAAGTCACATAGTCTAACTTTTCAGGTTATCCTAGGTACCTTACATGTTAAATTATGTATGATAATTGTACTTATGTGTACCTGTACCTAAATAAACTTACTTAGGCATACAACACATGGAAGATTGAAAGATATCTAGACTTGATTCAAGAAATTCCTTGGATCAAGAGCCCCTCACCAGCATTAAGGGACCTATTTTAAGGGTATTAGGTAATTTAACTTAGATACATTAACCAACGTATATTACTTATCTAAATGGTAATAAGTCAATTTGTCTGACTTTTTGGGATATCCTCGATAACGCACACTATGTATGAAAATTGTATTTATGTGAATCTGTGCCAAAATAAACTTAGTAATGCTTGGACAGGTGATACATATACTGTATAAATATATATATATATATAGATATATAAACTCACATTCTACCTGAAGTCATTCAACCGGATTCCTTCCACTACACACCTCACACATTAGTCTCAACACCACACTGTAAATAAGATCAATGAAGCAAATATAAGAAAGAGTGCGAGACAAAATATGAGTGACCATCGTAGAACTATCTTGATCGTATTGGTGAACCACTGCTGCTAATACAACCTTCCTGGCATGGACTGCCCCTGGCAGGCACTGCTTCACAATCTTGGCTACAACACCATCACAAACACTGTCTACCACGGCCTCTACATCAGTGTAGAGAGTAAAATACCTGTCATGGTAAATGAAGAAGTCATTTCATGCCAGAAGATGACATGGGTACGTGTAAAACGTGAGAGAACAACTTGCTACCATTCAGGGGATTTGTGGAGTTTCTTCCACTGTTGTGGGGGTTGTGGAGAGTGGAGAGGTGGTGGAGACGAGGTGGAGGTGGAAGTAAGTGGAGATAAGCAGAGCATTACCTCATAAGTGTGTTTGTTTTGGTAGCGCCAGTGTTGGTGAGTCACCAGCCAGGCGGCCATAACACCTCTTCTGTTTACTACATTGATCAACACGCAACCCGCCACTTTCAAAACTACCTACTACTACTACTGCCACTTTCAAAACTACCTACTACTACTACTGCCACTTTCAAAACTACCTACTACTACTACTGCCACTTTCAAAACTACCTACTACTACTACTGCCACTTTCAAAACTTCCTACTACTACTACTGCCACTTTCAAAACTACCTACTACTACTACTGCCACTTTCAAAACTACCTACTACTACTATTGCCACTTTCAAAACTGCCTAGTACTATTACTGCCACTTTCAAAACTACCTACTACTACTACTGCCACTTTCAAAACTGCCTAGTACTATTACTGCCACTTTCAAAACTACCTACTACTACTACTGCCACTTTCAAAATTACCTAGTACTACTACTGCCACTTTCAAAACTACCTAGTACTACTACTGCCACTTTCAAAACTACCTAGTACTACTACTGCCACTTTCAAAACTACCTAGTACTACTACTGCCACTTTCAAAACTACCTACTACTACTACTGCCACTTTCAAAACTACCTACTACTACTACTGCCACTTTCAAAACTACCTACTACTACTACTGCCACTTTCAAAACTGCCTAGTACTATTACTGCCACTTTCAAAACTACCTCTACTACACTATTGCCACTTTCAAAACTACCTAGTACTACTACTGCCACTTTCAAAACTACCTAGTACTACTACTGCCACTTTCAAAACTACCTAGTACTACTACTGCCACTTTCAAAACTACCTAGTACTACTACTGCCACTTTCAAAACTACCTAGTACTACTATTGCCACTTTCAAAACTACCTAGTACTACTACTGCCACTTTCAAAACTACCTAGTACTACTACTGCCACTTTCAAAACTACCTAGTACTACTACTGCCACTTTCAAAACTACCTAGTACTACTACTGCCACTTTCAAAACTACCTAGTACTACTACTGCCACTTTCAAAACTGCCTAGTACTACTACTGCCACTTTCAAAACTGCCTAGTACTACTACTGCCACTTTCAAAACTGCCTAGTACTACTACTGCCACTTTCAAAACTGCCTAGTACTACTACTGCCACTTTCAAAACTACCTACTACTACTACTACTACTACTGCCACTTTCAAAACTGCCCGGTACTACTACTGCCACTTTCAAAACTGCCTAGTACTACTACTGCCACTTTTGTGGAAAATACTGTATATATTTTACAGAAATTCAGTATTTATATGTAAATAGATGGCCATACTGTATTTAATAATATTTATGTCATAGAAAACGGAAAGCCTGCGTCTGCGCAGACGAGACTCGCCATCTTGGTTTTGAATTGGATACAACGTTAATATAATGGGAATTATTTTTCGTGCTCTAGAGGTTAAAATTGGATTGACACCTCTCAAATAGGAGGCGAAATTGTTGGATGTGCATTCCTGCATAACTTGAGATATCAGACGACTGGACAAGATAGCTCCAGGAACCTCAGATAAGCTCTCTAGATTTGTGTATAATTCTGGCCAGTGTTTTCATAAATTTAGTTAGTGAGGTTTTTCTGAGTGTGATACAACTTAATATACAGTCAAATTGGTGAATGATATTAAGATATATTTTCCTTCTGTTATGTATATGTGAATTTATATATAATCATTTTTTAATATACAGTCCACAAATTTATATATTTACCAGTATTCCTGGTGTATGTATATTTCATTTAATTAATAGGTCCAGAGCAACTTGTGGTTATGACAGTGGTAGGTATCGAAGGGGGACATTTTTTGCAACCTAGGTGTCCCAAATTCCTACTGGTCTATGTAACATTGATAAATAATAATTATCTTTGTTATCATTTACTGTTATGTACATAATTAGTTAC